TGATTGCCGCAGGACTGATTGTCATTTCCAAGTCCAACCCCAGTGTCAGTATTCTGTGACCTACTGATTAGCCCAGAAAAGGGAGGCCAGATTGATAACTAGGAGTTTGGCAACGCCAAAGGGTTCAATATCGTGGCAGTTAGTCTGTCGTGGGTTAACAGGTTGGATCTCATTGGGTTGCAGTTGAGAGAGTGACTTACTGGCTGAGCCCAAACATAGACACAATGTCCCTACGCCCGCGGTGGCGTGACCGCAAACGCCACCTGGCTTTCACACCCGGTAGGTTATATTCATGGCAGTGAAAATCTTAGCTGTTGTTGACGTGGTTGCCAAGGGCCCTGCGGGGTCTTCCTCCGGAAGCGCCGTCGGCGTCGCCACATGCTTTGCCCCTATCGCAATAGGCACGGAATTGGATGGTTCCATAATCATCCCAGCAGCCCGGGCTGGCTTATACGCCCTGAAACTCACACCTGGGAGCGTCGATACAACGGGAATCCAACCTGCAGCCCCTGAGTTCGACTGTGTGGGTCCTTCGCCAGAACCGCACTCGATAACGCCACACTTGGCGCTACCATGCAACGCCACGGTCCGAAAACCTATCTCCCCCTTTCAGGCTAGTGGGCTAGCTTGAAGGTGAGCTTCGTGGACCCTACTCTCTGGAGAAGTTATCCCTCGGCCATTGAGGCGACTAATAGGTTTTTTAAACAAACAGATAAAGCCATGTTTGCAGCTCAGGAGAAATCGGTTGTTGGGTGGCAGTGTCATCAAGTCGATTCCATTGGCGTCCTTTGACGACATTACAGCTGCCATGCCAGACCTCGAATACATGGAGGAGTTGTTCCGTACGTAAGCTCCGCCTGGGGTCCATTCACGATGCTGATGAAACTGAAAATGATAGCGTTCCCGTCGAAACGAGACCTCCCACTTCCCTGCAATCCTTCGAACCGCCTGTTCCTCAGATGATCGAGGAATTAATCAGCTTCAACAACATCTACGCCGATATCGAGTTCAGGGGTAGTCGGGGTCCTTCTCCAGGATAGTCGCGTCGGATGTCATCGAACGCAGACCCGAGGTTGTCGAACCCTTCTACCTTCCTTCTGCTGCTCTCCTTAGCCAAGGCAACATAGTGGGCGGGATCGGGGAAATTGAAGAGAGCGGAGATGTACGCTTGGGCGATCCAATCCGCTGCGTCATTCAGGAGAACGCTGTTAGTCAAGACGATAACCGCTGATTTGGTTTCCGGGAACAGAAAAAGAACTGCGTAGTAGCGAGGGTCTGAACATTGGTGGTAGTACGTCATCATAGGGGAGCCACCAGCCCCGAGCACCGGGAGATTCTCGATCGGGATGAGCGATGGGTTGTCCCCTTGAAGTCCCACGACGCCGGGCAGCTGGGTCCGGATTCACCCCATCCCGTAGAACCGGGATTCCTGGGAGGGCTCGTCGAGTGGGGCCTGGTTGCTGATGAGGGTGGGAACGTTCCGAAGCGGGCCGCTTAAGGGACCAGTAGCGTCGGCACGCAAGACCGCTTTGGCCTAGTAGGGTATGTCCTCGACGTTGGAGTAAAAACCCCCAGCTGCTTTAAAGAAGGTATACTTGAAGAGGTACTTTCTGTTGATGAAAAGTGGCGTGCCATTGGCCAGGGAGATATGAGCGTCAGCGAAGTTGTCCTGAGGTCCAAAGTCGGGTTGACTGGTGGTGTGTCTCAGACCAAGAGGCTCCAAAACTGACTCGTTGAGATACTCAGCGAAGCTTTTCCCCGACAGCTTCTCGATCGCGTTGCCAGCGACTCCGTATCCCCAGTTATTGTATGACCACTGCCGGCGAACTGGTGTAATGGTCTTCAAGCGTAAGACGGTTGGGAGAAGCTGGTCTTTTGGCAGGAGGCACTTAAACTGGTCCTGCACCGCAAATGACATGTCGCCATCGAGTCCGGAGCGGTGGGATTGGCACCTTGCTTTCGGGGCCACAGCCATTCTTTCAAGCCCGGGAGAAATTTGAGTACTGGCATTTTTGGCTCTAGATTTGCTGTGGCGTTTGGGTGGGGTAGCGGTTATGGTCTGAGGGAGAAGGGTTGGTAGGGGGTAAGAGAGGAAGGCTTCAAGTCCCAAGTGCGTGAAGTTGGCGATAGGAAGGGTGCTTAATTAAGCATGTCAACCCGCGCTTCATGAACGGCGTTACGTTGGCGCTGGAGGACGGTGTTAATTAGCCTTGGAGCAGGAACGTGGGCGCAGGTCTGGGAATGCTTGTCGAAATTGGAGCTTCTATGACCAGGTCGGCGCGAGCAATGCACCGAGAATAGTTGCTGGCAGCCGGACGAAAAATCACCAAGTTGGGAGGTGCGGTTGGTCGCGGGTCCCGCTTTGAGATGGAATTTCGACATCCCTTTGTCAAGCAAAACATGCCTCAAGCACACACCAGCGCCGTTCTCGCACTGTCACAATGTCTTCTCAAATCTAACGGTCTTGAGTTTTTTGTTTCTCGATCCTGAATCGAGAAAAAGGACATCACCTGGCTAGAGGCAGCGCATCCCTTTCCATTGAAACGAAATTTAGCCGAGGGAGTGGAAACCGGACTCCGGGGCAGTTTAAGTTTGGAAGCAACCCAGCTCGAGTCGTCCCAAACCCCGGCCTTGTTGTTACCTACACATCAAAGTCACGGTTTGATGGAGAGTACTCATTTCAATATCATTTACCAGCGAGATAATCAGTGTCTTTTGTAAAATGGATCAACTGTAAGATAAGTAACACACCGGCCAGGTTCCAATGTCTCTCCACACGAAGGGGGAGAGTGGTCACGGTTCGAGATTGTGGAAGTTTCCCACAATAGCTGGAGGGTATGTAACAGCCTGATATTTTCCGAAACCAACTCCTACATATGCGACCCAAACCCATAACTTTTCCCATATCCACAACAAACCCCCTACCCCTTCGTAGCCTCGACATCATACTCTACCTCCGTCCTAATCACATACTTCGCCCCCCTCCTCACCCCTGTCCCCTCATGTAACAACGCCCCCCTCGTATCCCCATGCGGAAAAATCGCCACCCCGCCCATAACCGGCCTCACCGGATACGCATTCAACACCCCCTCCCTCGCCGCCGGCAAGAAAAACGTCGTCTCCCCGCCCTCAAACTCATCATTCAGATATATCAAAAACGTAAATAACGAGCTCTGCTTCCTCCCCGGAGGCGACGCATCGTACACGTACGTATCATCCGGCAGGATACCACTAGGCGGCCACGCCCCGTCGATGTGCGCGCGGTACTCCGCGCCAGGGACGTACCGGTAGACACGAAACCGGCGGTTCAGACCGCGCGCTAAGCGGCCATCGACGCATGAGGGTACGTAGGGAGAGATGCGCGACCAGAGGACATCGTGGAATTGTTGGTCGACGACCCAGTAGAAGTTGTGAGCGAGGACGGAGATGTCGCCGTCTTCGCGGAGGGGTGCGTCGGGGAGGAAGTTGACGGTTTCGCCGGCGGCGATGATGGCTTGGCACTCGGCGGGGGAGAGAACGCGGGTTGCGAGGGAGAGGTTGGGGACGACGGGGTGGTGGTGGTAGGAGATGGGAGGAGGCGTGGCGGAGAGGGGGACGGCGCTGGGCTTGGTGGTGTAGAGGATGGCGTCGTGGTGGTTGGGGGGTTTGCGTAGTGGGCCGGGGGTGGTTTCGATGATGCGGAGGCCTTCGTGGAGTTTGGGAGGGGCGCAGAGGAAGATGGACTTGTCGAGGACGGAGGCGTAGGTTTGGAGGGTTGGCGCCGAGGAGGAGCGGAGGTCCCAGGTTTCTTGGACGCAGATGGGCGAGTCCGGGTCGAAGTCGGCTTCGGGGTTGGTGTCGATGGAGCCGCAGACGCGGAGGACGCCGTCGAGCACGCTGATGAGCTCCTTGTCGCGGGGGCTCCGTTGAGTGACTTCACCTTCGAGGGTTGAAACGCCGCTGACGACGTCGAGGTCCCGTACCCAGCGGCAGAGGGCGCCGAGTTTGGGCTCCTCGCCGCGGATTCTCATCTCAGCGAGCAAGACCTTTGCATCGATGAATTTGCCGTCGGCCAGGGCGGCTGTGATGCGGCCAGTCAAGTTGGAGCCGCTGCTGGTGCTGTTGAGTCCGGTGGCGCATGCTTGGCGGAAGTCCCACACGGCTACTCGGAGGTCTTTGCATGCCCTAGATTTGAGGAGAGCGGGGTGTTTTGCGAGCTCGGCGAGCGTGTCGACTGTGATCTCTAGCTCCTCCTGTGAGATGACCGACTGCAGGGTCGTGGGTTCAATCGCGTTAGCCGTGGCGCCATCATTGTTGCGGTCGTCGCCCTCGAGGGGCGGTGTGGTCGGCCTTTTGGTTGTCTTAATCTGCTTGTTTGGATGATTGCTGGCCAAGTCGTTTTGCTTTCTTTTCTTTGACTTATTTTTAGACATGTTTGCGAATGCGATTGCGACGGGAGTTGGCGGTTATCGCTGTCTTGAGGTCGATTGTGGATTTTCGAAATTCTGGCAAGCGTGATCTGCTAGGCCCACAAACGCCCACGCTAGCCTATTTTGGGATGGCGCACTTGCACTCGCTTCCCCGCATTACCTAAGCGGCGAGCTGCCAATATCAACATCTGATCCTCTCACATCTCACGCCATGTTTCTTCCCCAACATGCTTCTGCGCCGAATGCATTTCCAAGCTCATTTCACGCAGCCAAAGCGGACCGAAGGGTTTGCGCGGTTTGTTTCATGCGCCTGGCGCTCCGGCGTCCGGATTTCTAAGCAAGCCCCGCACTACCCCACCAAATACCCGTGCATTCGAGCCTTGCCAGCCAAACCTCCACAATCCATCCACCCGCACCACCGCCGAAGCCAGCCGATGAGCAAATCAAGCTCATGACTCCATTAACAATCAGGGCGTGCAGCTCAGTTGGTAGAGCGTTCGCTTAGCATACTCCTGTATGCGAAAGGTCCTGAGTTTGATTTCCAGTTCGTCCGCAGCCGTTGCCGTCGGTGACTCCCTCGTTTCCTCCATAGGGCGTGTAGCTCAATTGGTAGAGCGTGCGTTTCGCATGTTTACCACCTTGCGAAAGGTCTCGGGCTCGATTCCCAACTCGTCCATCACTCAGGGGAGAATCATCGGCAGCTGGTTTCTTTTTGCATCTATCTTATTCTGTGGTGTTTCGGTGCCGAGCCAAAGAGCCCCTGCGGAGATCCGGGTGCGGGGTTGAGGGCTGCTGTGTTCCCTCAGTGAGGGGGTCGGCTTCCTTTCCAGCTTGCCGATGGGCGGTGTGGCTTTTGCTTGCTACCTTATTTTTTTGCCTCTGCTGAGGTCGGAGCTTGTTTTGCTGCCACCAGCGGGATGATCTTGTCCCTGATCGGCCCTCTGAAACATTGGCCGCCAAGATGGCTGACTTGCAGCGTGGCTTGGGCGACTGGGCCATCCGGACTGCCGTCGGACAGCGGTTCTGCGTAACATCGACGCAACGCATCAAGACAGGAACACCTGTGGGGACGGCAGAGGCGGTGCAAACCGGATGCAACCTGCAGTGCAGTGGAGCAAGGGCGATGGCGTGCTAGGTATAAAGCAGTAGTCCCCAATTGTCTTTGCTGTGACTGTTGTTTCTATGTGTAAGTCTTGACCAATCCGATTTCTTGTTTCCCTCCACTCAAACCTCACACCCTTTCGTACGCATTCCTGTCCCACCGCGGCCATGACTCCCTTCGCAACCATCTACTCATACCCTCAGAACTTCCGTGTGCAGCGGGTACGTATTCACTTTAGACGCCTCTTTCCTCGTCCACCTGCTAACTTCTCGGCCTCAGGCTCACGCTCTCGCTGCCCTCGGCGGGCTTGAGCTTGTCGACGCTCCCAACTTCGCCATGGGTACTGCCAACCGCTCCGAAGAGTTCCTCGCCAAGTTCCCCATGGGCAAGGTCCCCGTGTTGGAGACCTCCGACGGCTTTTGCCTTGCTGAAAGCCAAGCCATCGCTCGCTTCATCGCTGAGAGCGGCTCCAAGGCCGAGCAGCTCCTTGGAGCCGACATCAAGACCCGCGCCAAGATTGAGGAATTTTCTACTTTCGCCGAACAAGAAATCTCCGCGAACATTGTCCCACCACTGGTAATGACGTTGCTGAAGATCATTCCCTTTGACGAGACGAGGTATAACCAGTGCCTCGGCAGCCTCGAGAGGGCAGTCAAGAGGCTTGAGGTCGCTTTGAAGACCGGGAATGGCAAGTTCTTGGTTGGAGACCAGCTCACATTGGCGGATATCATGGTAGCGGGGGCTTTGCATTTGGCGGCAAAGTTTTTGATGGATCCAGAGCTGTTGAAGGCCGCGCCGAGCTTGAAGGGCTACTTGCAGGGGATTCTCGAGATCCCGGAGGTCAAGGGCGCGTTCGGGGAGTTGCAGTTTTGCGAGGCCAGGGCAAAGGGCCAGTGAGAAGCTTGCCAGAGGTGAGGCGCCCAGAGAGGCGCTGCGTTAGACGTGAATAATGAGTTCCGTTCACCAAAACTCTTTCCTTCGGCTGCCGCTCACTGGTGCAGAAACTATCCCGATGGGACGGCAGTTGTTACCCCGCCGGCCCCTATTATCCGGCAACGTCCGCATACCTACTGTCTCTAACCTACTGCAATTCAATTCACAACAACACCCTGACCATTCAATTCACAACGATACCCTGACCATTTGATTCTCACCAACATCATCAACAGGTCCGACTAACATCGCCCTCGCCACACCATGTTCTCCTCCCCGTTCCAAAGCGAAGCCTATGTCGCACTCACACCCTCCTCGCCCATCACCCTCTCCACCGTAACCTACACCTCCATCCGCCCCGACGAAATCCTCCTCTCCACCTCGGCCGTCTCCATCTGCGCCACCGACCTCAAAGCCGCCACCGGCAAATTCCTCACCTCACCTCCCCTCATCCTCGGCCACGAATGCGCCGGTATCATCATCCAAGCCGGCGCCGAAACCCCCTTCCACCCCGGCGAAAAAGTCATCCTCTCCTACGCCAGCTGCAACACCTGCCGCGAGTGCCTCGACGGCGCGAATGCCTACTGTCAGAGTATCCACCCGCTCAACTTCAGCGGCTCTCGAAGTGATGGGAGTTCAGCCGCTACTCTCACCCTGTCCGACGGAAAGGAAGTGCCGCTGAAGACTCACTTCTTCGGACAGAGCAGTATGGGGAGGATGATCATTGCACGTGCGGCGTGCGCGGTGAAGGTGTCGGGGGATGCGACGGAGGAGGAGATGAAAATGTTTGCAAGTTTGGGTTGTGGGATACAGACGGGGGCGGGGGTGGTGTTTAATGTGGCGAAGCCGAGGAAGGGGAGCAGGATATTGGTGTTTGGAGCGGGGGCGGTTGGGTTGGCGGCGGTTTTGGCGGCGGGGTTGACGGAGCCGGAGATGGTGGTGTTGGTGGATAATTCGGGGGTGAAGTTGGGGGTATTGCCGGGGTGTGTGAGGGAGGTCGTTTCGGAGGTGGTGGATTCGTCAGAGGTGAAAGAGGGGGATGAGTTGGTGGAGAGGTTGAAGGGTTTGACGGGTGATGGGTTGGGGTTTGATGTTGCGTTGGATTGTGTGGGGAGGGGGGATGTGGTGAGGGTGGCGCATTTGGCGCTGAGGGCGAGGGGGATGGTTGTTACGGTTGGGGGGTCGACGACGGATGTGGCGTTGCAGGTTACGCTGTCGGAGCATTTGGGGAGAGGGATCACGTATAGGGGAACCCATCAAGGGGATTCGGTGCCGGGTGTTGTGAGTATTCCTGGATACATCTTTTTTTTCTGGACTGACGGGTAATATTGGTAGATGATCCCGCACTTGATCGGCTTGTGGCGTCAGGGTGAGTTAGAGTCCTTGCTGTTTCTCCTTCTCTGGGTATTTTAGTGGCTGACACAAATTCAGGCAAGTTCCCATTCGACGAGCTCCTGACATTCTACGAGTTCGATGAACTACACAGGGCGGTGCGGGACGTCAAGGATGGGAAGGTGGTAAAACCTGTTTTGATCAACCGGGATTCCTAGGATTCTTAAATTTCACGGAATGGACATCAACGTTTCTTCAGCCATCGGATTCTTCTTGCAGTGTCAAATGCTTCACGAGCTTGCGGCCCGAACCTCCCGATCCCGATGGTTTGGGCGAAAAGAACCAACGAGACTGCTGATGAGCCTCACCGCCTCCTGGTCTGTCATGCAGCCGAGGGGAAAATACCCAATCAATCCATGTTTCGTTCATCGTGCAGCGGCACAACGGCGGTGACCATCAGCCAGCCAATCAGGATTGAGATTGTTGACCATTTCCTCAACTTCGGAAAAACGCACATTGGTGTCTCAACCAATGAGAAGCGAGATTGTTGGCCATCTCAACCCCCCAAACACAGGCCTCTATTTGCTGAACTTGGACCTCTGCGCGCCGAAGCAGCTTGAGATCTATTTAACTGCCTCAAATTAACCTGCTCATAATCCTGAGTCCGTCGCGCCTTCCGTTCTCGCCATTTGAATACGGACGTGGCAGTCGCGGGTCGACTCACTCATCATGTTGCCGTTTCGCCATGGCCATTCTCCGCTCGGGTCCGAGGAACGAGGGCAATCTGCAGAATCCGCAAGCCACTCGGGGGGTGGGGAAGCACCTTCCAAAGCCAACCTCACAGTGCGTCGTGCCACCCATGACCTCAGCGTCTTCAAACTTACCCATCATTCCTCATTCCAGGCTTCACCAGATGACCTGCGAATCCGCGATAACGACGACAGCGACTGCAACGACAACGATGCTACCAACAACATTGAAGAACCAGCCGCAGCGGACGTTCCCACAGCAGAGCTGTCCATCGCGACCTATGTAGCTCCTTCAGTCGCCCCCTCGGACCCATTGCCGTCATCTAGTGGCATGTCGTTCACGACCGTGACAGCGCCAGAGGCTATCCCGCAGCGGCCCCGACCTCGCACGACCTCTCGGTTGTGTTGCACTGGATTGCTTGACCACTGGCAAGTTCTTTCAATTTCGTGCGATGACCAGATCCGTCAACAACCATTCGAGATCGAAGGCTGGTCTGAGCCTCCGAGTCCCCTGCCAACCAGATACCATGGGCCCCTTTCCTGGCGGCTCGTGTTTTCATGGGACGAGAGTGAGCAGCATTCAGACGCGGAACCACTTCGTCGCCCAAAGTCAGGCAGCGTCGAGGAAACCATTGGAGATGGATCGGTAGACGACACTGAGACGGCCCCAACAGGAAGCACCATATCTTTGCCGGATGATGTGGGGGATGAGGCGGTCCAAAGGTGCTGGCGCCTTGTGTTTGAGCTCGAGGAGTTTTACCTACAAGAACACCCGCAGATGAGGCCTCCGAGTCGACGTACTAGTCGCGCAACAACTCCCAAACCCGCCCAGAACGCCCGTTCATCTCGCGGTACTACCCGCGGTAGTCGCTTGGTCCCGATACTGCCACGTCGGCAGCGACGACTCGCGGGAGGGGCCGAGGACAACGACGATGATGACGATGAAAGCAGCGATGACAACCCAAAGTCTGCCCCAGGCCCCTCGGCGGAGCTTTCAGAGTACATTTCGTGTCCATTTTTGAAGTGGCGGCCGCGCTTCTACGAGAAATCATGCAAGCACACCTTTCGCGACTTCTACGCCGTCAAGAAACATCTCAGGCTGAGTCACCGCGCACGAACTTGCACTCACTGCCTGAGAGTCTTCAAGAAGTCGAGCCTACTTGAGCACATCGCATTAGCAGAATGTAGGAACCTCCCTCCCCGTCCACGGGAGCAGCTGCGTGATGTCATCACCATGGAACAGTGGGATATCGTCTTTTCGCGGCCGAAAGGGCGGATATCTGCCGAGAGGCAGTGGCGGAACATCTTCGACACTCTGTTCCCCGGTGCCCAGCAGCCAAGCAGCATCTACGACACTGGCGATGGCAGCAAGCTACAGGCCAGCGTTGAGGCCTTTGCTCAAGGAAAGGGCAGCCGCCGTCTGCGCCTACTGCAGGGTCGTAACGCATCCGATGACCCGACTTGCTATATGCAAGGAGTGACCCGGGCGTCAGAGTCGGCGGAGGTATGGGAGAGATTCGCTCCGCACATGTTTCACAACTATCGCTCACTCGGGACTCT